CGACCTGAATGTCATCCAATGATACTACTGCCTCTTCATCAAGAATGCACTTCGCAATTACGAAACATGAAAGGTGTTATGGATCCGACTGAGCTCCTCCGGTAGCTCTAACTTGTATGCCAACTTGCCATCCCTGGCAACGATTCCGAAAGTCCCAATGTATCGGGGACCCAATTTCCCCCTCTTCCTGAAGCGGGTCACACCCTTCCATGGCGAGACCTTCAGGAGTACCATGTCACCGACCTGGAACTCTAACTCAGATCGGCGTCTGTCGTCGTAACTCTTCTACTCACTCTTAGCGGTCTGCAGCCGCTGTCTAATCTACTGAATCTTCTCGGTAGTCTGCAAGACTACCTCCGTCCATCCCATTACCCCGTGTCCAACCTCACCCAACAAACTAGGGTGCGTCATTTCCAACCATACAACAGCTCGAAAGGTGGGGTGCCAATGCTAGAATGATAGTTGTTGTTGTAGGTGAACTCTGCAAGGGGTAGGTGGGAATCCCAACTCCCACCAAAGTCAATGACACATGCCCTCAACATATCCTCGAGGTTCTGAATGGTCAGCTCGCTCTGACCGTCGGTCTGCGGATGAAAAGCGGTACTAAAATGCAGCCTCGTGCCTAGTTCCTTGTGGAACTTCTACCAGAAATATGAGGTAAATCTAACATCTCGCTCAGAAATAATGGAGTCCGAAACCCCATGGCGAGCGACGATCTTGCGAACATACACGGCGGCCAACTTCTCGGCCGATGAACTCTCCCGTATGGCTAAGAAATGGACACTCTTGGATAATCGATCCACGATGACCCATATGGCATCAAACCCCTTTTCCGTCCTTAGCATCTTGGTAATGAAGTCCATCATGATCTGCTCCCATTTCCATATGGGAATCTCCAGGGGATGCAATTGGTCATGCGGCCTCTGATGGTCGGCCTTGACCATCCTACAGTTCAAGCACATCTTGACGTACCAAGCAATTTCTCGCTTCATGCACAACCACCAGTAACTCAAACTCAAGTCCCGGTACATCTTGGTGGCCCCTGGGTGAATAAAGTGAGACTTGTGAGCCTCCTCCATGATTGTCTGTCTGAACCCACCAGAGTAATACCAAAGTGAGTAAGACTTAGAGTCCGGGTACCGATGTAGAGATAGCAGAAATGAGTAGAGTTCCATACGCTTTCGCCGTTATATCTATCATGTATTCTATGACATGTACTCGCCCTGATGTGCCCTTTGCTTTCAGTATGGTCAATCGTTATTATAGACATCCAGGTAAAGCTTATTGGATACTTAAGTATCTATAAAGGACTAAGGATTGGGTCCTAGTACTTGGTGGCAATGATACATTGAGAGTAACTGCGTTTAGTGATGTTGACTTTCAAATAAACATAGACAAATTTCGTTCTCAATCTGGGAGGGTGTTTACCTTAAATGTAGGAGCACTTACTTGGAAAAGTTCCAAGCAACAAACAATGGTTGATTCTACCTGTGAATCATAGTACATAGCGGCAAGCGAAGCATCAAAGGAAGCAATTTGGTTAAAGAACTTCATCGGAGATCTTGGAGTTGTGCCAAACATCAAGGAGCTCATGGAAGTTTTTGGTGATAATGAAAGAGCGGTTACCTTGACAAAGGAAACAAGAGATCATGGCAGATCAAGACATATCAGTAGAAAATACCATTTTATCATACATAGAGTAGAAGAAGGTCGACTCGTAGTGAAAAGGGTATCATCTGAAAAAAATCCTACAGATCCACTCACAAAGGATCTATGTAGGGCTACACACATTCAGCATGCCAGAAGCATTGGTCTGAAAGATGATATTAGTTTTAGTAGTTAGATAGCTAGTTTGAAACTTGTAACGAAGTAAATGTAATTTAACTTTGGTGATTAAATAATAGAGAGTTATTTATGAGTTTGTTTATTACCTTTTGTCAATTGTTTATTCTTGTGTTTCATTTTTGCATGTTTTACTTCCCGAATAATTCGATTATTCAAAATCAGCAGTCATTCGTACTTTTAGAAGTAAGTAGTGAATTAAGACTATCATAAGTTGAATTGTACATTGTCTAAAGAGTATTAGACATAGCAATAGTATTGCTACAATGTTCATGAGTTCTTAGAAATTGAGATTTAAGTATTGGATTAACCTACGCTCAGAGAACTACACCATGGAATTTAACGACTAATTCTGAGACGATAATATATTATAATCTTAAAACAAAGATATATGAGTTGTTTACAAGTCAATTGTGCATTGATGATACGTAAACGCATTGGTAACACTACAAGAAAAAGACCCTTTTACGACGCGCAAACCACAACACTCATTGATTTATGTTACGCAAAAGAGAGTGACATTAAAAAAGTGTCATCTCTTCAAAAAATTTAAGAATTTACGTCACGCATTATTATGTGCCATTGAATTACTGTCTCAAGAAAAAAAAAAATAAAACACGGAGGGCGCTTTATTTTAAACGCGCGTCCTCTATACCCGTCGATTTATAATTTTAATAAAACGCGCGTTCAGTATAGGGGGAAACGAAATCCCTAAAATTTTGAACACCCGTCTTCTACCTTCTTTCTATCTTTCAACTTCTACCCTCTCCCTCCTTCTCTCTGGTCTCCGGTCTGCTTCTCCGCCACTCCTAACCTCCTTATCGGTCTCATCAAATATCGTGTCCCCTCCTTAATACCTTGCGGGAATCTAAACATTAGAAAACCCCGTCCTCACAATGTCTAAGAAACTAGGGTTTTTTTCATCCCTCAAAGAACGACCCACATCCTCCATAGATCGATCTCTATTGCTTCATTTCTCACAAGAAATCGAACACTTTACATTCATAGGGCCACAAAATCGACTATTGCTGGAACTAGGGTTTTGGATCTTATTGAAATTGAAGGGTTTCTGTTCACCAGGCCATAGATTTGAAATCAAAGTGTTAGGGTCTCGTTTGTCACTGAAATCGAAGGATTGATGCTCACAGGGCCACGAAAGCTAGGGTTTTTAGGCAAAGCTAGAATCAATCATGTCTAATTCCATCAAGAAATTAGTTATAAACGATAACTATTCTTCGTTCGTGCTCCTCTCCAAGCTAATCGATTTGCTATTTCATAGCAAAGGTAAATAAGATTTCTTTTGGCTATTTTTCGTTACTAGAAATTAGAATCAGAATCGTATTTCCATCCTTGATTCTCATATACTCTAACAATTATACTCTGACATTTTATAGATCAAAAATTCTAAAACATTTCTTTACGAAATCTCCCTACATCTTTGTTTTTTGAAATTTATTCTCGAATGCCTTTGGGATTTTACCATTTTTAGGCTTTGGCTTAGAAAATCCTAATGAAAAATTGACATAATCATCCCTGATAATGCATTACCATCCTCATGTTTTCAGTGTATGAATCAAGATGACTTTTTGATATTTGTTCTCTTTATCTCTGTAATTTTGCTTTCAGATTATCATGTAAAGATGAAGTGTATGAGGAGATCATTTAGCAAGATCATTTCCGATAAGGTAATATTTCATTTGAGTTAACTATTAATAACACTTGGTGGCAATGAGATTTGATTGCCACATTTATGGAATACAACATGATCTATGCTCTATCCAAACCTAGTAATTAAATAGAAAAACTTATTAATGTTGTCTTGCATAGCAAAAAATTTGTACTCTGGTTTTATGTGTAATGAGTTCTCTCAACAGATTATGTTTCAAAAATTATGTGTGATATGGCTGTTATTATTGCAGATTATGTTTCCATTCATTGATTGATATATTTCTTTGCAAGACAGTTGATGACAAAGCCTTTCAATTAAAAATGTGGCATAAGCTTTTGATATCCTAAGTTGTTTACATCAACATGTTGTGAACACTGGTGAAGTTCTTTCAGCAATATACTAGAGGATGAGGTAATTAATACTAATATGTACACACACGCTGTCTGTATAATGAATTGGTATGTTCCTTTTGATGATTTGGTTGTTTGATTAAGCAGGGTGATGAATGTGGTAACCTGGTAGAATTTGGTGCTTCAACTCTCAATGTGAATTACTCATTCAGTAATTTCTCATTTAAGGTATGATGACACAACCTACACTCTTTCTATATATACAGATCATGATTTAAAGTTAAAACACATATTAATTTAACTTTTGTATTTTTGATGATCAGAACCTGTCTCAGTTGGCTTCTATCAATTACGACATGCTTATAAAGAGTGCTCAAGACTGAATAGACAGTTCTACTAAACCAGCATTACCATGACAACCTACCTAATAAATCATATCACTGCTTCCATTTAGCTGCTGCTACTTGCTTACTTCCTGGATTTGAATGCTTTACTTGTTCTCCATTCACATTCCAGCTCCACCACCTCTCAAGGGTCAAAACGATCACAATATTTTAATTATGAGATCATAGGAATTAATAATTTTCTACATCATTCATTCGTTGGAATTAACACTTTGATTCAACTCGTAGAAAAATCCTAAATTCTATCTTCCATAATTTTCTTTTAAATTAAACCATCTTCTCTTGTACATATTCTTTTTTTAATTAGTTTCAGTACCAAATAAATAAATCTCAACTTTTGGTTTTCTCTGGGATCCTTTCCTTTTTGTAATAGGGCAAAAAAAAAAAAGTAAAAAGAAAGGCTGCTTCAGATGCTGATAAGTTACTAAATAAATAAATCTCAACTTTTGGTTTTCTCTGGGATCCTTTCCTAGACTATGGGAGCTACAGCTGTATAAGTTACCACAAGAAACAGATCATGTAGAGGATCCTCCTAAGAGAAATAGACATGAAAAAAGAAAGGCCGCTTCAGATGCTGATGATGATGAAAGCATACAGATTATTGGGTCAAAGTCTACTGCCAGGGGAAAAAAGGAACATTACAAGGATTTAAATCAACTCGTGATGTCACTGAAGTCAGCAAGACTTCGAGAGGAAGGGGTAGGGGGTCTAATAGTTTGAAGCAAACTACCCTTGATGCATCCAACATGTTTCGTCGTTCAGAAAGGTCTCCTCATTTTTAATATTATATTATATTATATTATATATATATTTGTTTAAGAAAATAAAGTTAGTTTATTTTGGTCTTCCAGATGAGCATCAGTTGCTGCATCGGCTTCTATTGAGAGTATAGCTGTTGATGAAGAAAAATTAGATTCTGATTCGGGTGATGAACCTGTGAAACTTGGATTAAATTACCTTCATCATACTTTGGTATGAATGTTTTTGTTATTTATTTATTTGTGTAGCTTTTGTTTCTTTTTTACTTAATTAGCTTAATGGTTAAGCACATAAGGACTTAACTGATTAAGCCAAAAAGTGACTTAACTACCCTTCTGTTTTTTAATAGTCATTTACGTTCTGAGTTATGAAAAATGACAAAACTGCCCTTCTGTTTTTAATTGAATTGTTTTAAGGATGATGACACAAGTATACAAGGTAAGGGCCGAAAAAGAGGTGGTGCTCCTAGGGGAAGAGGGAGGGGGTCCACTACTGCAAAAAGGGGAAGAAAATCAGACAACACTTCATCATCAATCCAAGACATGATGATGAGTAAAGATGATGATGATGAGGATGTTCCAAAGAAAGCAAACAAATCTCAACCAAGGGTAAGCAACATATTTTAAGAAAATATGGATTTTAAGAAAACACTCTTTTTGAGGGCATTTTTGGAAACTACGACCAAAAGTTCATGTTACCTTTGAATTCTCCTTTGCTTCTCTCTGCAGCTTCTGGGACTCTTCAACCACCTTTTCTAATTGACTTTCTTGGGACATTTTGGTGGGGGTTGATGGAAGCACAAAGTTTCTGTGTGATGTCATGGTAGGCAGGATAGTTTTTTTATAATTCTTATAATATTAGTTACATATTTTATTGGTTGCCCTTATTTATATTATATATATATATATATATATATATATATATATATATATATATATATATATATATATATATATATATATATATATATGGTTAATGCAAGAGCATGTTCCTTTTTCTGATCCATTATTGCTACTTCTCATTTTGGATCCTCTGGTGCTTCTGAAATTTTCTTGGATATTTTTGATGTAATTGTTTAATGACTTTGAGAGAGACATAAATGGATGGTTAATGCAAGAGCAAGTTCCTTTTTCTGATTGCAATGGGAATATCAAGATAAAAGTTTCAGTAATTCAAGAGGAATAGGGAAAGGAACATTATAAGGATGCCTGAAGTGGTGTTACTAAGTTCATTGGATTGCCTTGGTGCCAAGGGAATAATTAGCTCTCTACTCTTTTGGCTGCCCCTCATTAGTCAAGTGGTACAACCAAACCAAAGACCTTTTGAGGCAAATGTGAAAAAGATAGTATGAGAACTGGGAACTGCAATTTTTAGACTGTCAGGTGGAGTAATATAATCAAGAATCTGAATTATTAACAAGATGCTGGCAATTTTAAGCAGCCAAGTAACCAATTTTTCTAGAAAAAATATTTTGGATCTTTGATCACTATATGAGTTAGATTTAACAACCTTGAAGGTTGATATGGTCCTTAGTCTTGACCAATAAAAAGATTTGAGATTTTGCTTCCCATTCCATGTTATGATTCATGGAGGGAACAACCTTATTAGATAATCAAAAGTAGGATGCCCTAGTCTATCATTTATTTGTTTCTTAAATCTTAATACTTAATATGAATAGAACCAATTGCATGCCCCAAATGAATTAGCTTATTCAAAAAAGGCTTGTTCCATCGAAGGTTTATCTTGTGTCGGGTATTTGTTTTCTTCATCATAAATGTCCTTGTAGTCTTTATAATTAGAATCAAGTTTTGGTACATGAAGAAATGAATAGATAAAGGGATAAAAGTATTTGATAAATTTTTAAAACTTGTACCTACTGCAATTGTCTCATTGATAAGGGATGAAGTTGGATATTCTGCTCAAGGTCAAAGGAATCAGACCTGATGTAAGAAATGTGAGCAGAAAGAAGTTGATGAAGATTTTACATATAAACAAGAGAATTAAACTAGGCATTAGGAAAGTTAGCTGAAAATCAAATATTCTTCTTTCCATCAACAACAACCAATTTTATTGTTATAAGTTAAGGCCTCGTTTAGTGACATGACCATACTTGGTGTTCTTATCATTTTCTGTAATGTGAAAGGTTGCTTGGTAATTAAGTATTCAAATCAAAATATTTGGCAGGGCTATTAAAGATGAAATCACAACGTGTTCTATAAACCATGAAAATTAGAGTAGCTACAACTACTCTATTGACCTACCTAAGATACAATCTTGATAGATGAACTGAATACATATATTAACTTGTTCAGGTGAATGCTCTGTTATCTTATTTAGAGATCGATAATCATGGGGGGTTGGTTGGGGAGCACATGCCTGGTAGATAAGCATAGTTGGATCAGTATTGGGGGGAGTCGCAAGTCATGGGGCCCGGGCCCCGTGCAGATAGCTGGGCTGATGAATTTTCCCAACAACACGGTGGGGACCCGAATGCTTGGGCTTTATCCTTTGAGCAACAACATGGTACTGGGGGTTGGGCTTTTAAATTCCAGCATGTTAGTGAGCTCTTTCACAACAATAATTAAAATAATAGTTAAATGTTGACTTACTATTAATTCTTATGTTATTGATTTCAGGAGCAAACGCATATGATGTCTGTGGACCGAATGGCAGGTGCAAACATTCCATCTTTGGCTGCTATGGAGCAGACCTAAATGCTAGCACATACTTTAGCTCAGGACACCAATCCAAAGTTTCATGTTACTTTACTTACTTTGAATTAAAAAAAAAAAATTAATTTTATTTTATAATCAGTATATTATTTATTTGGTTTGGCAAATAATATGAAGAACCGCAAGTTACTTTGAACACCAATCCAAAGTTTTAGGTTACTTTACTTACTTTGAACACCAATCCATATATTCCAATTCCTATCAAATCCCATGGACGGTCATTATGAAGTTGGAGGTAGTCCTGCTCGACCTCAACATGTATATGAGCTCTGCTTTTCACATGGACAGGATACCCTCTTTGATGCTTGCGATTTTACCAAAACTAAAGCAGTAGAAGGGATTTCAAGAAAGGTATCTCATCTCAGCTCCATATAATATATTCCTAGCATTCTATGGGCTAATATAGTAATATTTCACCCTTGAAAAAGGCCATCAGGACACTTTTATCCAGAGGTGCTAACTTATTAGGGCTTTTGATAGCTAACTGATTGATCTTTTTCTTCCATTCTATGGGCTAATATAGTAATATTTCACCTTGTGCAACTTCATTTGATTTTGTTTCTGTTCTTCATCTTTTTCTTTCATTATGAAATTAGGGCTTTTGATAGCTAACTGATTGATCTTTTTGTATGATTGACTTTGTGTAACAGTATTTCTTTTCTGATTCTTACATGAATCAGGGTTTAACAGGAAGTATTATACAAAAAGATCAATCAGTTATTATATATATATATTTCATATGTCATTGTCACAGGAAGTAGATCCATTTGAGAGATTAACTGATCAAGACATTTGCACTGCAATCCACAATGCAACTGGTCTTAGATCCGCTTTATTTGTGCTAGAGGTTTAAATTTTTATTTATTTATTTATTTATATTAATAATTTAACCCTTTAATACATATATATATATATATATATATATATATATATATATATATATATATATATAGGTTCCACTTCAAGTTTTGGTTCGAAGACAAATAGCTCAGTTGTTGGATCATGTCTTCAATGTGCTAGACTTGTATGCAATGAATTATTAAAGGTATTATCTTTTTTTCTTTTTCTTTTTCTTTTTTTATAATTCGGAATAAATAAATATTTCGGAAATATTTCAGATCACCCATAGTTTTCTAGTGCATGAACTACAACAGTTTCCCCGTTCTTAAGATGCACATTAATGACATTGTTGGGAGTTTTTTGTTTGAAGGTCTTCAACCTTCCCAAAAAATGATTGGACACTTAGTAGAAATGGAGGTACTAGACTAAAGTACTTCAATTGCGATTTTTATACATACATGTTCCTGTTCATTAAACCAAGGTATTTATGGTGTCAGGTTACTTCCGTAAAAACTTTTAGTTGGTATTGATCATTGACTATTGATTGACTTACTTTTTCTATTTGATGCAGAGTCAACTAGTAGGGAAATTGTTAATTTTTCAAAGTAAAACAAAGGGTTGATTGAATGAGAGAAAAGAAAACACCAACACTCCATGGCTAATAAGAATAAAAAAATCAAAGATGTGAGGCAAAAAAGGTAAAACAAACTCGTATGTATGAATATGATTTGTATGGTAATTAAATTTATAATGTATGTATGTTTTGGTTTGCATGCAATCTTTGTTTGGCAGCTTAGACAAACTTTGTAGCACCTGATCGTCCACGCCACTCTTGGTAAAACAAATTTATAGTGTACTTCTTCCATTTATGTTAGTAATTTCTCATTATGATGTGTTTTTTCTTGTGCAATTCTATTTTTAGGAGGTATTTTACTTTATTAATTGTTTAAAGTTACAGGACATCAGTATAGGCACATCATGGAACATTTTAGGAAAGTTGTTGGTTTTCCTTTTGGTGATCCATCAATGAAGTGGTCAACTTCATGTAATAACATTTTAGGGGAAGATGTAGGTATATGTTTTTTTAATGAATAATGTAATCATATGTATGAATATGAAATAAAGTTTATTATTTGTATGATAATAAATTTTATGCAATGGATTGTATTTTTTGTATATGGTATTTTATTTTATGTTATGAGACATTAAATGCAAATTTAATTTGAAAATTAGTAAATCTGTAAATAATATTGTTTTTCTTACATTTAAAATTATGATATGCAAAAATGTGTGTCATCTTCATTTATGACATGACCTTTCTTGATAGGGGCTTCTTTGATACGCATTGTGTGTCATAAACACGCACGTCGTAAGGTTACGACACACAAATGCGTGTCGTCTTCCTTTATGACAGGGCCTTCCTTGATACGCATTGCGTGTCATAACCGCGCGTCGTAAATGCGCATCGTCTATAGACGACGCGCAAAAGCGCGTCATTGCTCTTTATGACAGGGCCTTTCTTGACGCGCATTTGTGCGTCGTCTGAGCATTTTACAACGCGCAATGAGCGTCGTAAAAGGCTATTTTTCTAGTAGTTTAACTTGATGTTATAAAACATATCGTTGTGTATGATTTGATGAGTAAATGGTACAAACATATAAGTCAAAGTATATTCGTTCTTTTTCCCTAATGGGAAAAGTGATATCTTTGGGCCCTCAGTGATTTAGTGATGACTTATAGTGCCAGGCCCGACCATGACTAAATTGATGTGTTCAATTTGAAGTTCTATGTCATTACAAATCAGAAATCGGGAAACAAAGTATTGGACAATGAGATTGATTTTATTCCATGTCTCATGTATGAATGATTACTTGCATAATGCATGATTATATGATCACTTATCTTAGGACATGTAACTGATTGGGTCAGAGTTCGACAGAGGCTTTTGGAAGCTACAATTTGCTGATCAATTTGGAAGTTATACTGGTAATCATAGTTACAAACTTATCCAAGTGGGAGACTATTAGATTAGGTGTCTAAGCCCATAACTATAATTGGTATAAGCTTGAATTGATAGTAGCATAGTCCTTTTGGGTTACCCACAAACCTAACAATTGGACATGATGATTTTTGGAGAGAGATGTTGATTTATTATTTGATTAATAGATTGAAATAAATAATTTATTAATATATTATGAGAATAATATATTAATTAGAAATAATAATATTTAATTAATAATTAGTCAGAAATTAATTGGAATTGATTTTGGGATTAATGGAATTAATTAAAAGTGCATGGTCTAAAATGCAATTGTTCAATAGTTGAACAAAAGGCTCTAGAACCTTCCACCAGGAGGATGGACAGTTTCAAGGGGAAATTAATTGGAATTGATTTTGGGATTAATGGTATTATGAAACCGAATGCGTGTTCTCCCCTAAAATCATGAAATCGAAGCTGACTAGATGGAACCACAAATAGTCAAATAAGGTAGCCTCATTTGCGGTTTTAATGACTATTAAAAAAAAAGGATAGATTTTGACTATTTTTTTTGCAAAAGTAATTAAAAGTAATTGTTATATTTGTATTTCTCTCCTAAAAATTTTTGTTTGTTGAGTTGATTTTTGCTTAATAGGATTTTCTAATATGTGCCCTAAGGGCACATATAAGAAGTATTAATTATTAAAAATATTACCATAATTAAATTCGAAATACATTTATTATGGAAATTATTAATGCACTTCACATATAATTATGGTAATATTTCTTATTATTGATGTATTTTATAATTAATTATGGTAATATATATCTTTAATTAGTGTTTATTATATGTGCTCTTAGAGCACATATTAGAAAATCCATTGGTTAATTAGTTCAATGTGACGTTTATATACCAAAAAATGTTATTGAAAAAGTGTCCGCTTTTATCCCTACTGCGGTTGCTCTAAAATCTAAATTACATATTTTGTTACTATTAATATAAATACAACACTAGTTATAATAAATAAACAATAAAATACATTTATTTAAATAGCAAATTATTTCGATGAATCCAATAATCTGTTCTAAAATTTCGATATATTGTGCCAAGTGCAAGTGTAGAAAGAGCAAACAACAAAAGAAAATGTCTCTCTTATCCCTAATGGAAAACGCCAATTTTCACCGACATTCATACCATCTGCGTTTGCTGCATTCCTTCAGTTCAGCAGTCTCAACTGCATGGGATCATTCCGACCATATTTTCCACCACCCTCCTCGAGACTCATGAACTCTTCACGAGATATCCCAGAATTTGCTCCGCCTTAAAAGTCCTTGTTTTTATGCATCATTGAACACTTTTTCCGGTGAATCAGACAGCGGATGCAAAATGGATATAGTCCAAACAAGTGAGCAACTAATCGTAACTTGATTTATTAATCTCATTGATTACATACAATAATTTCGGGAAAATACGAAAGAGATGAAAAAACAACAAAGATTGTTGACGGAGGAATCTAGAGAGACAGGTCGGAGAGATGGGTGATTGTGCCGCTGCAGCCGGGTACACGAGCAGGTGCAGCTAAGTAACTCGGAAGTTGGTCTCCGGCCATAACGACGACAATTTCGGGGCTGACTTTAGATTCATCACCATCGTTGCACACATACCGAGCCACCTTCTGAGGGTGTTCATCACCACCCTCGATATCTTCACCGGCGCCGGTAGCTGTTGATTGGGTCCTCCATTTAGAACAAGCCAACATTATCAAAGCCACCAGTATGAGAGCAAGCATGGCACCTATCCCACAGAACAAATAAACCAACGGCGTATCCAATCGCCACGACGTCGACGACCTCAACGACTCCGTTGGAGTTGTGTTTTCCAGCTGCTGTCCCATCCGTGATCCTTGTACTGTGTGCTCTGCGTTGAAAATTACATAAGAGAAAGGGAAGCATATATAGATGCAAAGGTACAACATGCATTAGCATGAGGTACAAGTCCTCGAAGTAAGGTTAATAATGGGTTTTTTTGTTTCATTTGTGGTTTCGTACTAAAGAATAAACCTCAAATCTGAAAACCCTTTCTTTAAATCCCTATTTACTTTGATAAGACGAGGAAACTTGAAAAACAATATGAAAAGCATATTCCATATGCGAATTAAGCAATTTCGATTATGATGCAAGTACAAGTACTACTAAGTGGAATATTTTGAGTTAAACCTAAATTATCATATTTATCGAATTGTTCTCGGGTATATCATTCTAATACATTACTCCTTGCATCCAAGATTTATCCATTTAGGTCCCATTTTGTTGGTGATTTAGGTTATGTTTGGTGCACCACAGCTAACTGATAAGCTAGTTTATTTTTTGAGCTTTTTTATGTTGTCGTGTTTGGTAAGTCAAAAAGTAGCTTATTAGCTAGCTTATAAGCTAGCTTTTTGAAACACTACTTAGACTAGCTTTTTAGGAACTTTTTTAAAATTTTCCAAATAGACCCCTTAATTAATTATAGAAACACATATTCTTATATGTCATTTTATGTAATTTTATATATTTCAGCTAGTTTTACCAAACGTTATTTTTTATCAGCTAGCTTTTCAGCTATCAGGTAGCTTTTTATTTAACAGCTAGCTTTTCAGCTAACAGGCAGCTTTTCAGCTAGTACGCGAAACATAACCTTAGTGTAATGGAATAGACAAAATTATTACTATTGGAATTCAAACTTTGATTTTATATAAGTTGGAATGGGAAGTGAACACATGTCTATAGGGATGAGCATATGGACCGGGGAACCGGCCGGAACCGGTACCGGAACCGGAACAGGCACCGGAACCGGAACCCGATGGAACCGGTCGGGCTGGGACCGGGACGTTATTTTTGTGGATTTTTGGAACCGGAACCGGTAGAACCGGCAAAAACCAGAACCGTATGATGCTATTTTTCGAAGATCGGTTCCAACATTTGAAGACACGACAAGAACCGGTAGAACCGCCGGGCCGGTTTGGTTCTTGGTTTTGGCCGAAGCCGGTTCCCGGTTCCGGTCCGGTTTGGTCCTTTTGCTCATCCCTACATGTCTAAGATGAATTTGTTCTCAATACGATCAAGATGTCGGGGGGGGGGGGGGGGGGGGGGCACTGAGGTTGCACCCCTGCAGGTTCCTAGGGGCAGCACCCCTGGCATATAACTTCTAGTAACTTTTCATAACAACCATACATATCCACTTATGGATGTAATAAAACACTTATTAACGAATACATTTTGGTGATAACTATGAATTTGAATTTCGTGGAAACCTAAGTATAAGAAGTGAAATATCAAATTTGGACAATGATTACATGATCCTACGAAAATATTAAAGATCTTTCCGAAAACCATCATGTTTTATGTATACACCAACACCTTGGTGTATACTGTAGAGGTGCAAGATGGTTGATTAATCTTTTTCTTTTCTTTCAATTTTAAAGTAAAATTAAAAATTATTTAGGTAATTATATTTTCAAATAATCTTCAAATCACTCCATAAAAGAGTTTTGACTTGTGTTGTGTCCCAGGATAAAAACGATTTAGTTCATAGTCCTAATTGCAATACTCAATGAAATGGGTTTTGAAAATTATAAGAATTTGGATTATGAAATATTTTGAAGTATAAACAATCAAAAGGGAAAAGTGGGAGAACAAATTGATGTGTCGAAAAAGGGGAGAAAGAGTATAAATGCGTAACTTTGGGGTTATAAAGGATTGATTTATGAATGGTTTTCTAATGTTAGGCTCCCTTTTAATTACATCTTGTCACTTTTTATATCTCATGGATAATATTCCACATAGCTTTTATATATATATATATATATATATATATATATATATATATATATATATATATATATATATATATATATATATATATATCAATCGTACATAATAAAAGGTACATTTCTTTGTCGCATAACAATTAAAATGTTTTGTCTCTTAGTAGTTAGGAAGTTCTGTAAAATACTACAATATTTATGTTATACAAATGTTTATGTAAAATTCCTTGATTTTGTCAATATCTTCTTGCGGAATAATTGTGTGACTTTATTTAAGCCTTTTGTTATAGTTGATATGATTATAAGAATTCAAATGCGTAACTAATAAGCTTTTTTGTTAATTATAAAATTGACAATTATAAATTTGCTTAATCGTCTTTTTTTTTTTTTTTTTTTTTTCTATTTTTGATGTTACTCATTTGATAAAAATCATTAGTAACCTTACCTACATTTGAGACTGTTGGGGCCGACAACATTAACTGTGAGTAGAAACAGAATGGATATGTATTTGAAATTGATCGTTTAATATTTTTTTATAACATTTTAAAATATTTTTCTTAAATATTAGTTTAAAAAAATTAAAAGTTTATAAACTTATAATTAAAAAGTATTAGAAAGTTTGAATAATTTTAAAACATTTACATTATATAGTATGTTTTGTCTTTTTATTTACTAAGTACTATTGTCTTTTTATGTTTTCAAAGATCATTCGTACTTATTATTACATATTTAACTTATTTAATTTTATTGTTAGATACTATTTATTTTAAAAATATTGAATATGCTTAAAAACATAAGAAAAAAACTATAAGAGGTCATATAAAATATTTTGCGAAACAAAAACATATTTATTAGCTAAAAAGTAAAGTTTAAAATTGATCAATATTTGATTAATATTTAGGAAATTATGAATATTCTAAAAATAACATTTAAAAAAATAATACAAACAAATATAAAAAATAGAATCACTATTAAAAGTGGGAAAAATGACTTATCAGAATAATTAACTTTTCGTTTTGTTCATATTTAGATAATTTTCTTTTTTCGTACGCATTTAACCATTCAACTTGTTAATTTGTTCACATATTACCATTGTCACCTACTATAACCGGTGATATTGGCAATATGTGAACACATATAACAAGTTAAATGGTCAAATGTATGCAAAAATCAAGGTTGTAAAAATCATTCGACGGTAGCTCGACAGTCGATTGGTGTTAAGGGATTAATCGGTTTTGGTGGGGATTAATCGGAGATTAATTGGGGACCATAGATTATTAATAAAATGTTAAAATTAATCAAATATTAATATATCTTAAGAAAAACAAGTACTTCAAAATTAGAAAATAAGAAAATTAGTAATTTGAAAATTTGAAAATACGAAAATATGAAAAATTTTGTATAATATTTGAAATTTTGAAAATTTTTGAATACAAAAAAAAGTTGATTTTTTGAATTTTTTTTTTTGACATTTTTCAACATTTTTTATTTGTTTTTTTAACTTTTTTTACCCGATTAATCCCGCCAAGACCGATTAATCCCACTAAACCCGATTAATCCTAAATTTTCGATTAACACCTTAATCTTCGACGGATGGAGAACGTCAAACGATTAATCGCCAATTAATCCCGATTTTTGTAACCATGACAAAAATAAAGAACCTAAATACGAACAAAACAATAAAGATGATTATCCTTGTAAGTCATTTTCCCTAAATTTAATGAAATGAATTGAATCAATAGAAATCCAATTTGCTCTTTAAGTATATAATAATTGAGTAATTTTTTTAGATTCTCATTACATCATTTAAGTAGATTTCAACCGTGTATTGAAAATTTTACAGGCCATCTATTGTGGTATTCAGTTTGTTTATCTATTAAAACAATTAAAAGAAATTGTGTAAATAAAAAAATAGCATATTATTAACTGTCATTTTTATGACAGTAATCCTTATCAATAATCATAATTAAGTTGAATTAGAAAACACCATGTCCATTTCTTGCAAATTGTTAACCACGTACGTGTTTGTTCGTGTAGACGGCACCATCAATTAGTCGATTCTACGATCCCCTTTCTCAAGGGAATTTGCTCCAAAGGTTAAAGAAATTAATGCGTGGGTTTCTTGGGATAAGTTTTTGTAAAATCTAAGGATAATCACTTATTTGATAATATATTTTTTATCCAAACATTTTTTTTTTCTATATTTGAACATTTAATTTGTTTTTTATTTTTTCATATATTTAGTTCTTAGAGCCGACTACTTTACAGTAAATCTGAAAAATAACTTAATAGGGTAATATGTTTTTAGTTTATACATACTTAGTCATTAATATTTTTTATACACATTTTGTCTTTATGATCGATTTCTTTAGATTTTGCTCACGGCATCCTATATGAGACAATCATTAATGTTGTGTTCTCATACGTGGCTTATCTTTCACTTAATTATATCAATAACCTGATTCACGAATCGGTCAAATAATATTGATGCCCTGGTTTTTTCGTAACAAAATATGTCTTCGGCTTCAGTTTCATATATCTCAATAGCAGACAACGATATTCTTTTTCTCGAAAGTGCAAATTCAAGTTAGGAGGAAGCAATCACAAAGACTCACGTTGTCGGCTACGGTGATAGATGAAATTGAAATTGAAGACGTCTTATGCTTGCAGAAAACCAGGATACTTATATTATTTGACCGATTCATGAATTATGTTACTAATATAAGTGAAGGATGAGCCACATATGAGAACACATCATTAATAATTGTCCCACATATGTTGTCGTGAGCAAAATCTAAATAAACCGGTCATATGGATTAAATGTGTACAAAAATATTAAAGATTAAATGTGTAAAAACTAAAAAATATATTGTCCTATTAAATCATTTTTTCGGCTTATCATGAAGTAGCCAATTATAAGGACTAAACGTGAACAAAAAAAAAACAAGTTAAATGGTCAAATGTGGACAAAACAAGAACTCGATGACAAAATATATATACAAATAAAAAAATATATTATCTTTTTATGTCGTTATCCCTAAAATCTAATATATTTAAGGAAATTGAGTACACTAATCAAAATTTTATAT